ACCTGTCATCTCTGCTGGATTTTTTCCAGTATGATTTTTACAGATATAATAAATAAATAGGAGCACAATGCACTAGGATATTTCTCTTGCACAAGCTTTATTTCAACTGGGCTTGCATGGGAGATTTTCCTGGTATATTTTCCCCTGTGTAATCAAGTTCTCTGCTTAATTTAAATGAAAAGTAAGCAAGGCTGTTAAAATTAGAATAGCATGAGTACATGTATCTGTGTATAGAGTACACAGAAGGATATACACTATTTTAAGCAAGGAAAGTTTAGCTCCTTTCTTTGAAGCTGTCAAGAAAAACTCAACTGTTTGTGTTCATGTTGTAAAAGAGTATGACCAAAGAAGGAATACTGACACATCTACAAGTTCATACTGTCAATGTTGAGTTCAGTGTGTCAGGAATAACATGATAAACTGTAGATATGATAGAAAGAGATGATAGAGCTCTTCGGGTGGTCTTTAGGTTTCTTTGCAAAACTTTTTTTGTGTTTAACACTATGTAAGCTAGAGAGTTTCTGATGGAAACTTGGGAAACAGTGCATCTCAAAAGAATCATAGAGCTGAAAGAGACCACAAGGGCCATCAAGTCCAACCCCCTGCCATAGATAAAGCCAAACATTTTAACTTTTGATTTTTTGCATTCATTGCTTTTGGGTGTTCTCGTTGTATTCCCAGATAAAGTATGTATGTATATGTGTGTTTGTGTATATACATTAAATACTGGCATGCACATTAGCAGCAGAGTACAATAATATGCTTCTTTTTAAGATTTGGTTTCTTAAAATTTCTTGTTAATGGGGAGATTCTACCTGAGTTCTGTTCTCATTAAGACAAGGCATTGCCATCCTGGCCCTATAGACATAGCTGCAGTTGGATCCTACAGCAGATACAAGTCTTTCCTTTAGGGTGTTTGTCATTTTCAATTTCATCACCAGTGGTCATGAAGTGAAACTAGGCAGGTAGCGTTGTGTCAGGGTAGCTAATTCTACAGCTGCCAAAATGTTTTCAGTGGTAAATTGTCCCCACTGTTGCATTGCCTGTGCCTGCTTTGTCCGATTCTGCATTGACTGGTTTGCATGGTGTTGCTGTGTGATACATGTCAAGATTGGCTGCTGTTGTGCTATGCCAGCATAACTCTTAATAATGTAGAGGCTCTTCCAATTGTATTCCTCACATACAATGTTTGTTTGATATGCACAATGTTTGTGCAGTAATTTATCGGGTGGGACCTTTTTTCAAGGGTGAAGTTAATTTTTTCCCCCTCAGTGGATCCCTAATGTGGAAGGGTCATGAATGCTCACATACACATTTCCCAGCATTTGTAGAAAATACATCTATTTTTCAAAAAGGAAGATATGTATGCATTTCTGCTAATTTTGTAGGTCACTGTTTCCACTGGACTGTATCTTCTGGGCATTAAGACCTTTGAGAGAGTTTAATTTCATTAAAATCAGACTAATGAAATATGCAAAAATATGTGAGCCTGCATTGCCTCTAAAAAAGGAATTGGCAACATATGGTCCTCCAGATGTGATTGGACTGTAACTCCTATTTTCCCTCACCATTGGCTATGCTAGCTAGGCTGATGGGTGTTGTAGTTGAGCAAAATCTAAAGGATCATGCGTTCCACTTTCCTGTTCTTAAAAACATGAGTTTGGTTTAAAAGTGAAGAAATGAAAATGAAAAATAAATTCATGATTCTGTTTGTCATGTATTTTTTTTAATTTTTGGTTCTGTGTGATTTAGGTCCTCTGAATCATAAAGGTTACAGTACAATTTGACTTCCCAGTTATTTTCTGTAACTATTTACATCTTTCTTGAAAAAACTACTTATAGATATTGTGTCCAAGGTTGGAGTTGAATACAATTTTAATTAACCCAGTTTGCTTTCTAACAGGATTTTTTTTTTCTTGGAAAAAATATGTATGGACATACTTCAGTTTTTGGAAACTGAACATTTCCAATGTTCATTTTTCCTAACACATTTAAAAAAAGTTTAAAAAGTAAATTCAGATTCCAAAATGATATCCATATTAGTCTGTTGTGTTAAATATAAAGACCATAGCCTTATTATGTTAAATACTAATAGTGTGGTTCTACTCAGATGCAGGCTCCATTGAATTCAATGGAGCTCACTCCCAGGTAAATGTATATAAAATTGTGCTCTAATAAGTTTATAGTGACAAAACTATTTCAGACTAAAACTCTGTTCCGTCTGAACATACTTCATATTTTTACCAAGAAAATTCTAGCAGTTCATGAATGGCAAATTAACAGATTTCTGTTTGTTTGTTTTTTCTTTAGCTTTTGGAGCAACAGTCCCAACAACCCAGACAGGCAATCTAAGCACTGAGTTTCTTTTTGACCTCTCTAAGGCAACCACCACCACTATAATCGTTATCTTCCCCGTGGACAGATGCTGTGTAAATAAGGTAAAAGTTTAAAATCTTCCTTCTCTTTTCATGTCCTGTATCTTGCAAGAAAGCTTGTTTTAAAAGTGGCCTGAATACACTGTATAGCATTTAATGCCCCTCCCATAGAAACTGTATAATGTACTGTACTTTTGTATACAAAGTAATTATTGCTGCTCAATCCTTGCTCAAGGATCCCAATCAATACACACTGCAGCATCCCACATTTTAGATTTCCTCCCTAAATTCTAATCCTTTCTTAGCAAACAGTAAGATGTCATTCTGTAGATAAATACGCTCTAAAATGCTTTCTGGAAAGGTGGCAGTCTTAAAATTATAACAGAAATCTAATCCATCACAAATATGAAAGGATGAATGAATGGGGTGTGTAGGTGCAGTGTTTGGTCTGTGCAATATGAAACATAACAGATCTATACTTTTAATTGCTTTTTAAAATAACATAGTTGTATAAATAGCATCACACTCAACACTGGAGAACTATTCCAGATTCCTGATTTGTGTATTTGTTTCTGAATGACTTTGCATATGAGAAACTGACCTTTCAGATCTGGGTTTATGACCTCATGAAATGAATAAATGGTAGCAAAAATATCTCTTTTGCTACTATCACCTCTGTTTAACAGGGTTTAACTAGTACAAACACAGTTTCAAAGTTATAATTGTTTGTCTAGTAACAGTCAGTGTACTGAAGTGTGAAGAATTTGTATAAATTTAGAAAATTAACTTATTATATCATTATGTTTATGAAAATCTGATACAGATTTCCTTGAAAGAGCTTTTTAATGCATCCAGAATGTCTTAGTTAATTGCACAGCACATAATGTATATTTTACTGTGGCTATGAGCTGGTGTGTTGCACTTTAAGGGAAAATTATTTCAAGAAATGTTTGCATGTAAAGGCATGCAATTATACGGCATATAGTTTCTGGCTTAAATGGAGGCAGCATGTTTAAATCATGCCACTTAGGAATATTCCTTGTTTCTGAATGATTGATGCCAGCTGTGAAATATGTATTCTCTTTGTTGTTTTTGGAAGGAAAACTACATGCAGATCAGGTGGGATAAGTTGTGTGATAATAGCACTAATGCTTACTTGGAGCCAGCAGCTCCAAATTAACTAACGTTGCTGTGCTTACAGCACCACTGCTCTGTGGAGGTTTTCATTTCTGTGCACAGGCACTGTGCCACATCTTAAACTGGTAATTGACTGAAATAAATATACATATGTATATTTGTTATATGTATATAACAACAACAACAACAATAATATTATTATTTCTAGCCCGCCCCTCTGCTAGGCAATCGGGGCGGGGTACAACATATTAAAACAGGCAACAGTTAAAAACATTCCCTCAACCCTCTCCCCAACCCACCCCGCTTAAAACTGAATTAAACAAGCAAAGATTAAAATACAATAGTACAATAAAATATAATAATAATATTTTATTTATATCCCGCCTTTAGCCAAGGCTATCAAGGCGGCTTACAATTTAAAAATACAATCCCATACAATACAAAAGACATATCACACCCCCCCTTAAAAATATATTAAATCCATAACAACATTAAAATTTAACTTAAAACAAAATTATTTCTAATACAACTAAACAGGGCACTCTGATTATAAAGGAGTGATCTAATGGTGGGGAGAGATTGTGAAAAGTATCATTCTGGGAACGCCAGCTGGAAGAGATCCATCTCGATGGCTTTTTTGAAGCCATCTAAGGGCCTTTGCAGACTGCCAGAAATAGTGCACTTTAAATTGAGGCATTGCCCTGGCTCAGTGCTAGGGAACCATGGGAATTGTATTTTTTTCTGAGACATTGAGCCTTTTCTGTCAGAGAGCTCTGGTGCCACAATAAATTTACAGTTCCCATGATTCCCTAGCATTGAGCCAGGGCAGTGCCTCAATTTAATGTGCACTATTTCTGGCAGTCTGCAAAGGCCCTAAGTTGGTTATCTGATGGATCTCCTCTGGGAGGGTATTCCACAGTCTAGTATGGAATAGTACTGTGCTGCATCTGCAAGAAGGTCCATAATAGCTTGACCATGATGACATTGTTACTGATTCACACTGTTACAGTCTCTTATAGACCTCTGTGTATGTTTAGTGTGAACTCTCACAATCCCTCCCTAAAGCAAGCCCTATCATCGGTGGCCCTGTGAGCGCTGGATTGGGGCTGTGGCCACCACACACCACGGCCCCAATCCAGCTTTTTGCCACTCCAAAAAGAGCTGGCAAATGCCACTCCTTTTTGGAGTGGCAAAAAGCTGGCCTTATTGCCGCCGGTGCGTCTCTTCTGCACTCCTTTGGCGCAGTGTGTCTACACACTGCACCAAGGGAGTGCCCTGATGCTGCACGCCTTGTGGTGGGGTGCATGGCGTGATGGAGGTGTCAAGGCAGAGTCGGGGCAGCCGTTGTGTGGTCACCCTGCCCCAACTCCACCCCCAGGCCGGCCCTTTCGACCGGTCTGTACAGGCCCTTGGCTTGAGGACATTTGTCATTGCCTTCTCCTGAGAATGAGAGTGTGTGACTTGCCCAGAGTCACCCAGTGGGTTTAATGGCTGACCTGGGAATTGAACCCTGGTCTCCAGAGTTGTAGTCCCTAATGCTAATTCCACTATGCCACGCTGGCTCGAGATTAGTTTATTTGTGGAATTAGCATATCTGTGTTCTTCTTTATTGGAATGGAGGATACAATTGGGATTGTGTCTACTCGAGCAAATTTGTAAATATCTATTCATTCTTACAGATATTCTTGTATTCTGACCTGAAAATTCCACTGGTTTGTATAGTTCTCAATAGACTCAAAATTCTATTGACTTGTGTAGTTCTCAACAGACGGTAATTGTTGGACTGGGATTTGTCATTGTTTTCCTGGGGCCTGAGCAAATGGGGCAGGATAGCACAGGCTGCCCCCGGTAGTCACCGGGTTAGTCCCTGGGTTGGTGTGGATGTTCACAGTCCCTGCACTGACCCTTACCTTGCTGATATGCGGACCATCTGAGAAGCCCCCCAATCACCCTGTCTGACATGGAAATAGAGTACCTGACTGCAGGCACCCCGTTTCTATGTCAGATGGCATGACTGGGGGGCTTCTCAGATGGTCCAAACAGCAGCCAGGTAAAGAGTGTGGTTTTGAATATAAATAATAAATAGTTTTATTTAATAAATATATAAATAATAAATAGAATATAAATAGTTTTTTGGAAACTCCATGCAAACCAGGACTATTTTATCACAGGGTAAAGACTATTTACCCCAGGTTCATACCAGATCCGCATCTGTACTGGTGGGACTGGGCCCAATCCCGCCATGGGGTTTTTGGTTTGTGTCATCTAAACTAGACAATCCCAGCTTGGGTGAAACCGGGCCATTTGCCCTGTGCAGACTACCTCCTCATTTAGCAAAGTGAGAAACATGATGCATGCTTTAAAAACAAAAAAGCCTCCAAGTATGTGTAATAATTAAAGTTGAGTGTAGGTCCTCTTGTTACATTGGGATGTGTAAACAGTAAATAGGGGTGATTGGCATTAGCACATTTGGTAATGCTGACCATTAGGCACTCTCAATTTTGCTGCATTTTTTCTTCTTTTGTGGAATCTTGTAACCTGTGGGGTGATCCCAGAACCTCCTGGAACTTATTTTTATGGAATTGACATATTTGATTTTATTGCTGTTTGTATGACAATTTTTTTAAAATAAGGAAGTTGTTTTGCAGATGCAAAGACTAGTGCCCCCTGCTGTCTTTTTGATAGCTCTGTTTGTGTTTCTTAAGCAGTATTTTGTTATGCCTTTACTTATATAATGCAGGGGTAGGCAACCTTTTCCCTTTAAGGGCCGAGGGACTTCAGCTCCCAGAATCCCAGGAGCTATTGGCAAACATGGGACTATTGGCCAACATGGCTGAGGCTTCTGGGAGCTGAAGTCCCTCGGCCCTTAAAGGAGAAAGGTTGCCTACCCCTGTCTTAAGGGGAAGTGTGAAAATAAAGGTGAGAAAATTATATTAAACTGATAGCACCAAACCAATATGACTTCTTTCTAATTAGATCATTATTAGAGAAAACATTTATTATTATTTTAAAATGCATGTTTAGGCTTGTAGTATGAGAATACATTTCATCTACTTGGACACAGGAGCTGACACTATTACTTGATGTTGTAATACTGTATTTCATGAGTTCCAATCTCCTTATGACATTTTTGAAAGTTATTTTAATATGTGTGAGCCCAGATGTTGTTAAGTTACATTTGGCTTGTTTATTTCCTTCCTTGTAACTTAAGAGAGTGAAATTAACTCACTTAGAACTGAGAACTGAATTTTTTATATTCAAATATAGATATAAATAGAATATGAAAGTTCTGGATTGAAACTCTTTTTTTTTTTAAACAAAGATGTTCATCCTTTTTTGCTTTGTGGGTCAAATGTTACCAGTGGTCTCCTTAATGTATGCACAAGGTACCTTTTCCCTTATGCTTTTGCTATTCCAGTGGCAAGGAGTATAAGTTTGCCTTGGTTGTATTTTTTGTTCTAGAATATAGCTGAAGTGGAGACTCTAGGAGGGGAAGAATAGGTGACCCCTTCCGGCCTCTCCATAGGTCAAATGACTTTTCCCCACCAAGCTATTTATAGGTCAGAGATGGGCATTAGTGTTGCTGATACCATTACCCAAATCCTGTTAGTCCTCACTGAAATAGATTGATTGAATCAGTGTAGTTTACTTTAGTGTCGACTTATGAAGTCCCTATTGATTCAGTGGATCTACTCTAGTTGAGATTAATAATTTAGATCATTGGTCCCCAATGCTCCTCTTCAAGCAGCCTTATCTTATCTTATTATTTATGTACCACCATCTCCTCCTCCTCCTTAAATTTTATTGCATTTCTTTTACTACCTTTATTTAAAGTTTCCTTCAGGCCAAAAAAAAAAAAAAAAAAGGTGTGGTCTATATCTGCATCTCTTGAAACTGTTTCAAACAAATCCTAAGAAAACATCATAAGCAAGGTACAGATCTGTGACACTGACATTGTCACTTTGTTCCCCTAAATGGTTTTTACCATCTGTGCCTGGTGAAGAAGCCAGCGTTTCTTTTGGTTGGCCTAATAAAGGTATTACAGTGATGTGTGTTTTGGATTTTGTTGGATTTTGTTCCAGGGCCTCTACAATTTTTCAGGTTAATAAATCTTATCTATAGGTTATATGCCTGTAATGACATTGAGCCAAATCCCCAAAGAAAATAGTATTATATGCTGAAAGCAACACTGGTATTTCCCCCAGAGTTGCATGTTTTCACAAAGTTTAAGAGAGAGGGTAGGTTTTTCCCCAAAAATGAGATTAAACAGGCCCTTGCCTTTCCAGTGCCTTGTGGAGTCATATGATGGATTGTATGAATGGCTGTTGTATATCCATTGCCTTGATCATATGAATGATCTTCTGGCATGCTAATAAATGCATGATGTGATCATATGAATATCTCCCTGGATTTAACTGGGAAGGTATCCTTGATGGAAACAGAGCTAAGATACCTAAATCCTTAGATGTAGCAGTTTCTGTTTTGGATAGTGTGACACCCCCCCCCCCGAGAGGTTTTGTGTTCTAACATTACACTAAAGTATTTTAATATATTATTGACATACTGCTAGTGGCTGAAATGGTGTGATTTTAATCACATGCAGCATTTTATTTACAGATTAGAAAGCTCTAGTTCTGACATATGACTAAGAGGGAGCCCTTCCTTTTAGCAGTTGCATGTCATCTGCTTCAGAGAAATAATTACTTGGCAATTCCCATTTGATAATTTTGATGAGTTACTTAATAGTGATGGGATTGTTGAGCAGCCTGCATTTAATCTGATTTTCAGAAGCTTCTTTGCAGATCTGGGTATATATATCACAATATGTGGTGGTTTTTTTTTTTTTAAATCTTTTAGCTTTAGCATAAGAACACTGAAACAACTCAAAAACAAGAGTTTCATGAATTACAGTGAGGATTTTAATGAGTAACATATTTCTTAAACTAGGGCTGGGAATCATGGGGCCTTCTGCTGTTGGACTGTGACTCCCAGAAGCTCCAGTTAGCATAGGGCCTTTGCAGACTGCCAGAAATAGTGCACATTAAATTGAGGCACTGCCCTGGCTCAGTGCTAGGGAATCATGGGAACTGTATTTTATTGTGGCACCAGAGCTCTCTGACAGAGAAGGTTCAATGTCTCAGAAAAAAATACAATTCCCATGATTCCCTAGCACTGAGCCAGGGCAGTGCCTCAATTTAATGTGCACTATTTCTGGCAGTCTGCAAAGGCCCATAGTCAGTGATGAGGAGTGCTGAGAAGTATAGTCCAGCAACACAACATCTGGAGGACCACATGATTCCCACTTATATCTGAAAGCCTGGTCTTAAAAGTTTTGGGTCCTATTCTACGTATGTAGAAAACATCTGGCATAACATATAAGCTAATTAAATGTTGTATTTTAAATCTTACATTGTTTCCAAGACAATTGTTGAAATTTAAAAGTGGCCACACTGTTTATATATGAAGAAGTTCACATTACACCATGACTACCAGTTTGTATCATAGGTATTCACAGTCTGATCTCTCCTACTTGGTAGGCTAAGTTGGCAAATTTTATAATGTTTTTGCATCACAAACACCACTGGGTTTTGTTTTCTCCAGTGTCTCTTGTTACTTTAATCTTTACTGCCCTGTCCCTCTCTTGTATAGCGTTTAGTTCTCAATTCTACTTGAGGAATGAATAATCGTTTTTAAGGTCTCTTACAGCATGCAAGCCACCCAGAGAGCATGAGATAAGCATTTTTATGATGACTTCAACAAGTTTTTTTTTTTTTAAAAAGTGCTGACATGCATTTAAAATGTAAAAGAATTGTGATTGGCTGCTCTCACCTGACGGGGATTTTTCTTTCTTTTTGTTAATCAGAAATGGTATATTTATTAAGTTAATGAGTTGACTTATATTACATTGCAGAATTGACAGATGAGACCTTTACTCTTAAATATTGTTCTACACTAAGCTGTATACAATGAACATAATAGTCTTTAACAGCTGCTCCACAGTTATGTATTTTTCTCCTTACGAAATTTGTCATGAGAGTAGTGAGTCACAAACTTTGTTCACTATCATTGTATTTAAGTAGTAAAATCTTACTCTGTAAAGACATGAATAGATTTTGCATGCATTATGAGAAAAACAATGATGCAATTTAAAATAGTTAACAACTTATTCCATCCTTGATTCCATCCAGGAGGATCCAGTCTTTCCCTCCTTCTGACCCTCTTGTCTCTCTGTCTTTTAACAATTTTAATAACTGGTTCCAGCGAGCTGGTGCAAACTAGCTGAACGATACCATTGCAGAAGAGTGCTAATACAACTAGCATACTTTTTGGGGGGCACATTCTGAAATGTTTGCTTTGTTTTCTTTAAGAAAAAGTACCGTATATACTCATATACAAGTCGACCTCATGTATAAGTTGAGGGAAGGTTTCAGGCTCAAAATCATGGATTTTTATATGACCTGTGAATAGTGGGTAAAACTTAGGGAGCTATAGTGAAGGATGGAAAGGGGGAAATACTACTTCTGTCCCTCCTTCTCCTCCTCTGGACCTCTCCCGACCACCT